AGTGGAAAAATTACTAAATTATAGGCTATTACTAGTATATATAATGTATTTGCGTGAAAATGTATCTATAATTAGCAAACAGTTAATAAATTACTACATTTATAAATAATATAAATGTAGTATAAAAATAACAAATATTTTGCAACAATATATTAACGATAAAAGTAAAAATGTTAATAAATTATTAGCTACTACTTAAACAAACAACGTACTTGTGTTAAAATGTATTCGTAACTTACAAAAAGCTAATAAATTAATAAATTTATTGTTAATAGCAAATGAAAATGATTGATAACAAATAGTTTATAACGTATATTAATGATAAAAGTCAAAAAAGTTAATAAATTATTAGCTACTACTTAAATAAACAACGTATTTGTGTTAAAATGTATTCGTAACTTACAAAAAGTTAATAAATTAATAAATTTATTGTTAATAACAAATTAAAATCCTAGATAAAATATAATTTGCAACCTATATTAATGATAAAAGTCAAAAAAGTTAATAAATTGTTAGTTATTACAGCGAAAAAGTTACTTTTAAAGGAATCGGTAAAGTTCGGAAATTTTCGCCGACTTTCGGCCAGCCGTCGGCTATATAAGGGGCCCGCGTGAAGGCACAAGCCATTTGTCGGTTCGACTTCGGGAGGCCCGCGTTAATATTTTTTCGGTGGGGAAGGGGTTCCGAAAGTGAGGTTGTAGTTATCAGTGGTCGTTGACTAGACCTTTGGCTAGTCGATAGCCACTGTACACTACACCCACACCCCAACCTCTTAAATAATTTAATAATAATTCTTTCTTTCAGGTACTAATTATTTTTTGTTTCAGGTTTTAATTATCTTTCTTCTTCCAGATTCTATTTCTTTTATTCTAGGTTTCATTATTTGTGCATTCGAGTATCTTATACAATATTCGAATGCTTCGTCGTTGGTTTATTTGTATATCATCGTTGGCTAGATCAATGGCTATTCAGTGGCCATTGTCCACTCTCTTAAATAATTTAACATTAATTTCTTCTTTCAGGTTCTAATTATTTTTCTTCTTATAGATTTTATTTCTTTCATTCTATTTGTCTTTGTTTCAGCATTCGAGTATTTCGTATAATATTCGAATGCTTCGTCGTTGGTTTACTTATGTCTCATCGTTGGCTAAATCTTTCCTTTCACAAATTTTACGACTTCCGCTCGATTTGTTTTCGTTAGAGCGTTCGAGTATTTCGTATAATACTCGAGCGCTTCCTCGTTGGTATGTTTATATCTCACCGTTGGAATGTTTCTGTCTCGTAGTTATGTTCCTTAGGTTTCGTCGTTGGCTTGCTCGTTCCATTTGGTTATTAACCTCGATGGTTTCCTCATACTAATCCGTTTCCTTTCAGCTACATATTAACAATAATATATTCTGTTCTAGCTTTTAGGTTTCTCAAGATTCTGTTTGCGACACATCAATGAACGATGCGTGCGTTTACTTTTAAGTAATCATAAGATAGATCCATAGACTAAGTATCATGTGCGCGCTATCTGTACAAAGGTAAGCTACCTAATTTGGAGCGAAATTTATATATTCTTTATCATTATCTTATCTCCCTCGTTTCGCAAATAGAACATAATTGTTCTCGTGATAATCGCGATCGTTCGTAAGTGCCGACTAGCCTACGCGATGTGCTTTCGTGTACTGGATAAGTACATGCTTCATAAGTCATCCTCACGACTCGTCTCCGACACTCATTACCAGTCACTGTCAATCTCGTCATGCATCGGGTTCCAGGGTGACCCCCTCGGATCAGTGCGTCTTCTGACCTCGACGGGGCGGTCCGCTGCCTAAGTCGTACGCGACTGGGGCTCGGGCACATGCTGGCTGACGGACTAGTACCATCTACGGTTAGACCACAGGGATGATTAAGTTCTACCCCGTGTGGCTGGGATGCGAAGTGTCTGTCTTGGCCGGCAACCGCCCAGCAGGGCCCTCGCGTTGACACTAGAAGTTTCATTGGTTCAGGGACTATCCTTGGTCCACGTGTAAGTCTTGGCGAGTGCGACAGTGACTGGAATTGAGCTAGGCCCGATCGGGAGGGTGCCGAGGTATGAAGTTATCTCTGTACACGGGAGTACATCGCCTAGGCTAGTCGGTCTTTCGAATAATCGCGAACTCGTTCGGGCGCGTCGCGATTTTCTATTAGCTCGCGTGTTTGGTACTTCATTCCCTATTTTTATGGGAACTTATTTTATTGCGACAGTAGAGTTTTAGTATATCGAATCGAAATCCCTTTTGTAAGACACGAAATAAAATAAAGTGTCAGTAGAGTCACTTTAACTTATTCGCTCGAAGTTAGACTAGGATGCCTTTGATACGGATAGCGCCAGCAGGCTGCGCCACTAGGGTGCATGTCGGGTCTCGATGCGTAGCCACCTCCACGTGGTGAGACCTGGTAATTGACATCGTTTTCCAAAGATTTCTCTTTGGAAAACGATACCAAGCTAAGAGCTACGCACAAAGTTTAAGATATTTCCTACCTCTTGTAAATTTTCAATATTCTCTTCGAACTTTGAAAATCAAGAGTGGGTAATATCTGTTGAAATAATAAGTAAAGTAAGACAAATAAAGTAAGGGGAATAAGGTAAGTAAGGTAAGTAAGGTAAGTAAGGTAAGTAAAATAATTAAAATCTCTAGCAATGAGTAGTCTATGTATAGTATGTATATTCATGCAAACGCTGTGAAATTTGTCGTGATAAAATTCTTCGAAAGTGACGTCATTTGTTGGAATCAGTTGGCGAGCAAGCTCTTAGCGTGTTATGTTATCTTAATACAAAACCGCAGAATTGATAGAAAATTTTATCCCAAGGCTCTAAAGTATTGTCCACAGAATTCTTGGAAATGAATCGGCGAACGACCTCCTTTGATGTTATGTTATCCTGATACAAAATCGCGAAATCGGCCAGAAATTTTTCTTCGAGTCCGCAAAAGTATTGTCGGAGAATTCTTGGAAATGACATCATTTCTTGGAACCGTCTCGGCGAACGACCTCCTGTCATGTTTTGTTCTCCTAATACAAAATCGCAAAATCGGCCAGAAATTTTTCTTTAAGGCCGCACAAGTATTGCCCACCTTGGCGGCAGAAGTATTGTCCAGAAGCGGCAAAAGTATTGTCCAAAGGCGGCAAAAGTATTGTCCAGAAGCGGCAAAAGTATTGTCCGGAGGCGGCAAAAGTATTGTCCAGAAGCGGCAAAAGTATTGTCCTGAGGCGGCAAAAGTATTGTCCTGAAGCGGCAAAAGTATTGTCCCGAAGCGGCAAAAGTATTGTCCGAGAATTCTTGGAAATGACGTCAATTCTTGGAATTGTCTTAGCGAGCGACCTCCTGCCATGTTATGTTCTCCTGATACAAAATCGCAAAATCGGCCAGAAATTTTTCTTGCAGGCGGCAAAAGTATTGTCCGAGAATTCTTGGAAGTGACGTCATTTCTCGGAATTTTAAGCGGAGGCTGGAAAAGTATTGTCCAGAAAACGACCTCCTCTTCTGTCATGCTATCCTAATACAAAATCGCGAAACCGACCGAAAATTTTACACAGTGGCTGGAAAAGTATTGTCCACGTAATTCTTGGAACTGTGCCGGTAAACGACCTCCTTTCCTGTTATGTTCGCCTAATACAAGATCGCAAAATTGGCAGAGCATTTCGTACCAACGCTGCGAAATTTCTGACCATAGATTTCTTGGAATTCTGTCAACGTGACAGCTCCTTTAACGTCATGTTCGCCTAATACAAAATCGCAAAATTGGCAGAGGGTTTCGTACCAATGCTGCTTGATTTGTAGGCTCAGATTTTCTGAAATTCTGTCTATGTGACACCTCCTTTAACGTCATGTTCGCCTATTACAAGATCACAAAATTGACAGAATGTATATTGTATATTTTTGATGTTCCCTTTGAACTTATTAATATTTTTATTTGTATTATTATTTGTACAAATATATATATATATATATATATAT